GCACGAGCTGGCGCTGCAGAAGCGCTCGCGCGCGTTCAGGAGCCGCACGAGCTCCGCGGCCCGCGCGTCCAGCGCGCGCTTCCGGCTGGGGTCGGGCCGCGCCAGCCACTGCGCCTTGCGCCGCGCGAACGCCGCCATCGCGGGGGGACGGCGTCCCGCCGAGGACAAACCTCGGCGCATCCCGAGCGGCGCGGCCCCGCCCTGCTCCGCACCCCGCCGCGGCGCTCCGCAGGCACCGGCGGGCGCGGGGGCTGCGCGGCGCTGGCCCGGGGGGACGGGACGGGGACACAGCGGTTCTGCGCTACCCGTGCCAGGCGCCACAGCCACGGGACGCGGCCAGGCCAGGCGAGAGCGCCTCGAACAGCCGGGCCTGGTCGCAAGGAGCGCTTCCGGGGCACGGCCTGGCCGCGAGGAGCTGCAAGGGGCGGGGGCTGGCGGCAGAGGCGTGCTTGTAGGCGGGGCCCGCGGCGCAGGTGTGTTTGTGGCGGGGCCGGACAGTGCAGGTGTGTTTGTGGCGGGGCCTGGTGGTGAGCGCGTCCGGTCGGGGCCCGTCGCGCCGGGACCGCATCGTGCCGGGTACGGCCCTGACCGCTCTTAGCCGGCGGCGGCCCTGCTGGCCGCGGGCCCCGGCTGTGCCCAGGATCCCGGAAGGTGCTCCCAGCGGGGAGGCCCGAAGCAGTGCGGAACCTTCCCCTGCCCCCGCTCCCTCCCCTGCGTTCCCCGGTTCGGTTTATTACCGCGGGATCGATCCGCGCTTCGCCCCGCGCTGTGTGCCCTGTTCCCGGCGGTGCCCGCAGGCCAGCTCCTGGTGCCTCAGGCTCCCCGTGACCTCCACAGCTACCAGGGCTCTCATTGTTTCTTTTAGCGGATCCTCCGGTCGCCATGGCAGCCACCAGGCGTGTGATGAGAGCTGTCCGAGTGTTTGAATTTGGTGGCCCTGAAGTGCTTAAACTCCAGTTAGATGTGTTAGTTCCTGTTCCAAAGGAAAACCAGGTATATGTGAGCTCTCTGAAGGAAAATAGTGATAATGAATGTTAACAAGTGCCTGCAGTGAGAGATACAACCCAGAACCCTACACCTAGAGTACCTTAGTTTTGGTCAGTGTGTTCATACTGCTTGAGATGTCATGCTTAACAAGTGTGGACTCTTTACTCTGCCATGGGCTATATGTTCCACATCAAGATTTCCCTGAAATTAGTTTCACTTTGACACTGGGTTGTCACAGAGGCTGTTTGAGAATTCAATAAAAATGCTGCAACGCCATGCTGTGAATTCAAGGGCTATAACTTTTTAGTTATTGCTTAATAAGCGTTTTTCTTTTAGGTGTTAATTAAAGTCCATGCCTGTGGGGTGAATCCTGTTGAGACATACATTCGTTCTGGGACTTACGCCAGGAAACCGCCTTTGCCCTACACTCCTGGCTCGGACGTGGCTGGGGTGATTGAGAGTGTTGGGGAGCATGTGACTGCATTCAAGGTATTTACACACTGGGTAGAATTCACTATTGTTTCATGGTTCTTTTTGCCTGGTTGCTGTGCCACTCTACCTGGTTTTGTTGCTTATGATAATGGAATCCCTTCGAGGGGGAAAGCCCTTCACGGGCTGGTAAAAGCACACAGTGGGATCCCATTGGCAAGTCAGTCCTGCTGGTGGGACTGTGAGGAATGCTGTGCCCCCCTGAAGCTCAGAGGTCTCAGAAGAGGCACTGCAGTCTGTCTGCTTAAAGCAGTGATATCTGATGTACAAAAGTTGGGGTTTGGAGCTATTTTTCTGGCATTGCAGAAAAAGTTGAGATTGGATATTTTTTCTGGGGGTAGTGATTTTAGGCAGAACTGAGAATTATTCTGTAAAGTACTTGAGAAATGGAAATTTCTTACTTATAAAGCTCCATAAATTCTGTTATTTGTTGCTAAAATTGTTCAAATACTGTATTACTCCTGTCTAGTAATTTCACTTGGATTTCTCAGTGGGAAAGTCTCAGGACAGGAGAAGATGAATATCAATTTGCTAAAAGATATCTATGGCATCACATTGGTTTTTAAATTGGTTCTCCCATTTAAGTCATTAGACATTTGGTCCAAACCAACATAAAAATTGTAGGTAAAACTGGGCTGGAATTTCCTGATTTGGAATTTATGTAACAATTCTGGGAGATCTGAGAGATAGGGTTATCAAGAGAGAAGAATCATCTTTGATCATATTTTTGTATCAACAGTTTGCTGTATCTGCTGTGTGTGACTTTTTGCTTCCTCTGACAATTGTGATGCTCTTGGCTTGAATGAGAGACAGATGTCTTAGGGTATATTAAGAGGATACATATTTCCATATTTAAATAATTTAGAAATGTTTCTTTTCTGTTTGTAAAACTTCTGAGGTTTTGCATTTGGCATCTGTGGATGGAATTCCTGACTTCAGTTAAAGTTCATTAAGGTTCATGTTAATGACGCAGTAGGTTTGTGTGTCACACTACTGGGTGGGCTTATAATTATGATACTTGCATTTAAGTGTAAGAAATTGTACAATTTGTGTTGCATTGATGGTATGTATCAGAATTCATAAAAATTTCTTTGAAAAATGTAACTGGTTATTTTTGATGGGAGAGCTGTTAGCAATAGCCTAAACCTCTGTAAATTTAATCTTAATGTTTATTAAGGAAAAATGAAGGGAAATTATTGATTTCTCTGTGTTCTCTCCCTCCACTCTAGAAAGGTGACAGAGTTTTCACCCTTGAAACACTTTCTGGAGGATATGCAGAGTATGCAGTTGCTGCAGCCAACAGAGTCTTTCCTTTGCCAGACAAACTGGACTTCAGGCAGGGAGCAGCGATTGGAGTGCCCTACTTCACTGCCTACCGGGCCCTTTTCCAGAAGTAAGGCCCCATATCCATGTTTGTGCACTCTAATCTTTGGTATTTACAATACCGAAGTTCGTATTTTCACTCTCCTTTAAAAGGGGGAGGTTGGTGAGTGGGAAATGTTTAAAAACATTATACGGATGGAATTGTCAGATAATTGCGGTGTAGCAGCTTGTGACTGTGTTTTCCTGTTAAGTCTTTTTTCTTAAGAGAACCTACCTGGAAAGGCTTCATGGAATAAAATATGTGACTCCCTTTCAGTACGCACAGGTGTTTTGGCTGAGGAAGGAAAAGAGTAATAGCTCTAATTTCCTCAGTAAGCAGACAGGTGCTGTGGAGCAGAACTTCTGCTTTCCTGTGACAGGCCAAAGTCCTCAACTGAGGCTCAGTACCAGACTCTCACTGGCTGCTGGCTGCATGTTGCTTCAAGTCATCAGTCACAGGATTTATTTTGCCTCCTTGTTCTCCCAAAAAGGCTTATGATACCTGTTTAGCCATAAATTGGAATATAATTGGAACACAAACTGGAAACAGTGCTGTGTGAACAAGATCAATGTCAGTATCTGCAGCCCCATGCTCAGTCAGTGTGTACTGCAGTCACAGTGCCAACATTTCTTGTGTTCTTCACTTAGAGGCTGTGCCAAAGCAGGGGAAAGCGTGCTGGTGCATGGTGCTAGTGGGGGGGTAAGTATGCCAAGGAGGCAAGTGGTAGGAACACTGCTCTCTGTCCTTGCTTCTGCCTCTTCCTGGGATATGAGTTATGGTCATATTTGTATCAATAGATTAGCAGATTAGGTTTTTATTTCAGATACTCTAGGATACACTTAGAAAACCCTGTCGTTCCCGATAACTGTGAGGCTGCACGAGTGCTGGTGCGAGTTCCGCAGTAAGAGGGTCACAACGCTGAGCAGATGTTTGCTGCAGGTGGTAGTTGGTCTGGAAGTTTTACTGCTGATAGCAGAAAGCTCTAATTTTCCAATATGTACAAATTGTTCTCAGTCCTTTGAGAAAAAGTGACTGGTGGAGGGTGACTGTGCATTTCTGTTTACATTCTCATGTTTTTACCCAGGAGCCAACAGCTGGCTGCACAGGGAAATGTGCTGGAATATATAAACCTGCAACTGAATACTACAAGAAATTGCACTTCTAGTTTTCTTTGGGTTTTCATGACAAACTTATTTTAGATCTCTATGACTCAGCATTTTAGTTTATCTCCCACACTCTGCACTTGCTCACTTTCTGGTGATGCACCAAACAGCTGCTGTGAACAGGCCAAGTTTCCTTAATTATTTGTTAAACAACAAAAAGATGAATCTTATTCTGAGATACTAGAATAGCATTTAGCATCGTAAGCCTTTTTTTAAGTTTTCATAAACTACATGTAGTGCTTCTATTCTTACTGGAGTGCAAAGCTGGTAGGAGACACTGAAAATTCACTTTCTGAAGAAGTAGTATTAATAAAATTTGTGCTGCAGATTTTCTTTGCAATGTATAATGCTGGTATTAATAGCAGGTGATTCTGTGAAGAGAAGGATTTCCTTGGATTTGAATCAAAAATATAGGGCCCAGATTTGACAGATACTCAGCATTCTACATCGATGTGTGTCAAATGCTGATAGCTATTAAAAAACCTCAGAAATTTACCACGCCTCAGTAAATGTCTTTTTTTTTTTTTTAAAGTATTTGGCTGTCTTTAAGATCCAAATTATTGGCTAAAAACACTTTACCAGACTAGCTTTTTAAATGGGAAAGTTCCAAGTCACTGGTAGAACAGTTAAAATTCTAAGAAAGAGGTAAAATAATTTTCTGTTTTGGTTGTTTTCTCCCCTCAGGTGGGACTAGCAACATGTCAGATTGCCAGAGCTTGTGGTTTGAAGGTTTTGGGTACAGCAGGAACTGAGGAGGGCATGAATATGATCCTGAGAAATGGTGCTCACCAAGCCTTTAATCACAGAGACCCGAATTACACTGAGAGAATTAAGGTAGGCCTGTGTCTGGACTCAAGAATGCAGTTGTGTTTTTCTTAACAAAATGTGAACAGTTGTTTGTGGAAGAATTTCAAGTAGATTTATGTAGGATCAATACTGTACTGCCTTTTTCATTTCTACACAAGTTAAAACTTTCTGAGGCTGGAAGAGCTGAGCTTTCCTCGCAGGCAGTGGCATTTAGAACTTCTTATATTCAGCAAATTCTAGTGTGGGATCACATCACAATTAGCACAGCAAAATGTGCTACCATTCAGCTCATTAGCTGTCAGCTGCAGTACAAAGGCTCTGTTGAAAATAAATAATGAGCTGTAGAGTGGATACTTTCTGTAGTGTTTAAAATAAATGGTGGTACCCAAGCACTGAAGTAACATCCTGTGTCCTGTACAGGCATGCACAGGGCCGGGAGGAGTCGATATCATCATAGAAATGCTCTCTAATGTCAACCTGGATGCTGACTTGCAGCTGCTGTCCTGTGCAGGGAGGGTGATGGTGAGTGCTTGTGTCCTGGGCTGGGGGGTGACAGTGAGTGTTTGTGCCCCTGAGCAGGGAGGTGGTGACGGGTGCTTGTGTCACTGATTTTGTGCATTCAGCATTATACTGAACAGCTCTGACTCCATGCTTTGGACTCCTTTGGGCAGGTTGTGGGCTGCAGAGGACGTATTGAGATAAACCCAAGAGACACAATGAGCAAGGAATCCAGCATAATTGGAGTGAGTCTGTTTCTTGCAACTGAGGTGAGAAGCATTTCTATTTTAAAGCATGCTTTATTGGCTTGTTCCAGCACCTCTCTATTTACAGTTAAAATTATTTGTAGGAATGAGAGAATAATTTCATTGTAACAAACTTGTTACTTCATTCCTTTATGTTTTGATTCAACCTCAGAACATCATAAAATATTTTCAGGTTGTAGAGTTTGCTCTAATTCTTGCATAAATTGCAGTACTATTCTACAATGCAAAGACCTTGTCATAAACACTATGTTTGTTACATGCAGGAGGACAGGCGTGAATGTGCCACAGCAGTCCATGATGGCATAGAAGCTGGCTGGCTGAAACCCGTTGTGGGCTTGGAATATCCCCTAGAGAAAGTAGCCAAGGCTCATGAAGACATTATTTGTAGCAGTGGTGCCCGAGGGAAGATGGTGCTCCTTCTATAAAGGAGCACCTTCTTCCATTTATTTTGTAGCTATTCTAACTGCACCTTTGCTTACATGGTTCACTGAATGTATGTTATAAACATACCTTTGATCATGTTTGACAGTAGCAGAAAATGCTAAAAATGCTCACTTAGATGAATTAGTTAACATTTTCTTTTTGCAATGAGCAGAGTTGCATTTACTGTAAGGTAATTTTGGTAGATTTTTGATTGATGTGGAAATAATAAATTTCCTCCACTGGCATGGTTTGTGCTGCAGGGAATGGTAGGGTTTGGTATCATGGTCCATGTGAAGGCAGAGTGAGGCCACTGTAGGTAACACAGAATAAAGATGCTTTTTACAGATACAAAAAAATAAACAACTCACTGTGTGTTAATTAGAACTGTAAATTCTTTTAGACACAAAATTTGTACTCAAAATTTGTAGTAAAATTTTGTCACATAATTTACTTGAAATAAAAGCTTTTACTGACAAAATAGTTTACTTTCCAGCTCAAAAGATGGGCAGAATGTCTCAAACATGAACTTTTTGGAGCTGAGGCAGTTCTACTTGTCTGTGCCTCTAAGGCTGAGGTGACAGTGTCCTGGCTCATCCATAGTGTCTGTCACTCTGGAGCTGCATGCTGGGATTTGCCTCTTTGGAACTGATGATCATGACCAAAGCAGCTGATTCCTGAATAGTAAATGCCTGATTGTGAAGAGTTCAGTTCTTCCTATGTGCTTTAATAAAGTCTCCTGGATCCCTGGCTCTGTGGAGAGCAGAGCCTGCATGGCTTTGTGGCACGGAGAGTTCCTGTCAACCTCCCGAGCTCCACCCGCTGAAGTGGGCAGGGCGCAGCCTCAGCACTAGGGCTTGTGTCCAGGTGTCTGTGTGGGGTCACTTTGCCATGATACCGGGGTCATTTCATTGTGTCTTGTTCTCATAAACCTTACATCCACTGCACAACAGACGGTGGTGTCAGGAAAGATGGTGGAATGTTTCTAGAGTTAATGATTTCAATTTAGGGTTTCAGTGAGTTGTTTCAGAAAGCTGCTTGGGGAGAGAAGAACGAGGCCAGCTCAGCTGTGGGACTGTCTGCCAAGGTGCAGTAGGATCCTTCCTCCCTCCAGGCTGCCCCAGGGGAACGAAGCTGGTTTCTTTGTAGCACTTCCCACAGGAGTAGGGAGCTTTATATGAAGATTTAAGTGATTCACCTGCTGCAAGTGATGTGTGTAGCAAGTGTCTCAGCTGCTTATCCAGGTGAAAGGTGCTGACTGTTCTGTTGTCTCAAGCAGAATGCAGCCTGAGCAGTGGTGTCATGCTGGCAACCTGCTATTCCTCTTGAGAACACTGTCAAACAATATCAAAGTAGTAAACACAGGTTAAAAGTAATGATTAACAACAGATATGATTGTGGAGCGGATGTGCATATGAAAATATAGACCCTTCCTCTATATTCTGTGTCAAATATTAAATTATTTTTAATTCTGTCTTAATTTAGTAGGGGTCTATGACATGGATGAGACGCTGATGGTTTGTAATGGCTCTTTTCTTGCTTAGTGCTGCCACTGCATCATGGGTGATGTTTAGAGGAGAAATTCAGAGCAAGTCTCCGGTCTGTCCTCATCGTTGATGTCCCAAGGGCCGTGATTGTAGTAAAGTTTGTCACCAGAAGGTGTCAGAGCAGTTCTGTGTTACCACCTTATCAGATTATTGCTGCTCTCTGCCAGAAGACATGGTAGAATGGCACAGCAGGACTGGGACTGACTTGGGAATATCAGATCGTTTATTCGTCTGTCAATTTTCAATGTATTGTATAAATTGAAGGATTTTTTTTTTTTTTAATTTTGGAAGAAGCGGTGTGAATAGAACTGATGAGGTAGGGCTCAGGTATGTCTGATTTGGGTAAGCCACCCGTCTAGAGAATGTCATCCTGGAGAGTCCTTGGTTTGGCTCTCTTTTTGGGGCATGCTACCCCTTGGCAGTGCAGAAAAGGATGAGGAAAGGAGTGGGAGCCACAGACCATTGAATCTGGGGGAATAATTCTCTCAGTTTGTTGAGAATCTTCCCTGATTCGACTGGATGGGATTTTGGAAGCAGTGGTTCCCAGTCACAGCTTGCTTGGTGCTGCCATGGGTGTTTGGAAGGGTTAAACTGGCACTTGTACTTGTGCCGACTTTGACATCTGCAGGAGAGGTTTGGGGTTCAAAGTGAGGAGTTGTGTACTATGCAAGGCTCTGGAAACTGCTGTTCTATGTGTTTCTAAAACAGAAAAGAGTGGAATTGTTCTGAAAAGCAATTGTTCTTGTTTAATTTCACTGTGCCCCAAATAAATGCTGCTTACCTTTTCTAGTCATTTAAAGTGTAGTTGCCTCTCTATTGTAATTGTCCTGTATCTGTTCCTGACTTCTTCCTGTGCTGCAGGATGATACAATAGGTTAGTTTAAAACTTCAGTTACAGAGGTGGGAAGATAAAATATCAAGAGAGTATTTATGTCAAGAATTGCTCCCTTTACAGAAGGCAGGTCAATATTCAGTTTGGGTGGATCATGCCACAGAAAACTTGAGGATGGTGAAGTCTAATATTTTGGAACTGATGCATCAGGAGGGATGGTTTTCCCTGCTATTTCTCACTGCAGGGATCTCTGCTCATACCAGTCACTCTGGTCCCTGGAAGCATTACCTTGTGAGTTTGTACTTCGACTGGGACTTGCAAGAACTGCAGGAAGAAGGGAAAAACAAGCATGGAAGGGTGGTTGTATCTCCTTTATTTCAGTAAATCGGGTGTCTGTTGCTAATGCAAACTTCGGTGCTTCCTATCATCTGGACTGAGAGATGGAAATCAGGATTGATAGTGGAAGTGCATCGTGTCACCTCATGATACATTTTTAAGTTTCTGGGTCTGTGTTGTATGAAAATGCCTTCTCCATACTTCTATTTTAAAGTTTTTTCTTCTTATATCTCCCCCTCTTTTTATTTTTTTTTCCTTTTCCCATCTTTCCTTTCTGTTTTTTCTTTTTCGTTCCCCTCCCCTCCTAGTCTGGCGTTGCTGGAGCGCCAGTGTCCCGCAGCCCCACGCCAGCCCCACCCAGCTGGAGTTAGTGGCCAGTTCCGGGCCCCTCAGTACCAGAAAGACAAGCAGCTGCTGGAGGGGGTCCAGCAGAGGGTTGGAGAGGTGAATGAGGCATACTGCATCTGAAACATCTCTCTAATGCCGAGGGATGGCCCAAGGTGGGTGTGCTTAGTGTAGAAAAGACACAACTGAGAGGGGATCTCACCGATCCATACAAGTATTTCCAAGGGGTGTCACAGAATGGTGCCAGGCTCTGCTCAGTGGTGCCCAGCGACACGATGAGGAGCAATGGCCATGAACTAAAGCACAAGTTTTACCGCAACCTGAGGAAAAACTTTCCATGGAGGGTGCTGGAGCTCTGAAAGAGCTGCCTGGAGCGGGTGTGGAGTTTCCGTCTCTGGACACATTCCAAATCCAACTGTATGCGTTCCCGTGTCACCTGTTCCAGGTGACCCTGCCTTGGCAGGGGATTGGACTTGTACTCTCCAGAGGTCCCTTCCAACTCCAACAATTGCGGGTTCTGTGATTCCGGGGCGGCAGGCGGAGCACCGGCCCCCTCCCGTCCCTCCCTCTTGCGTGTCTCTCCCTCCCGCGTGTCTCTCCCTCCCTTTCTCCCTTTCTCCCTTCCTCCCGTCCCTCCCTCCGTCTCCTGGCGACGCCCGGGACGCGGCGGCAGCGCCGGTGCGGCAGCAGCGCGGGCCCCGCGGCCGCCGCCGCTGCCATGAGCGCCCCGCAGCCGCGGTGAGTGCGGCGGGGCTGGGGCCGGGGCTGCACCGGGGCTGCTCCGGGGGGCTGCTCCGAGGGGCTACTCCGAGGGGCTGCTCCGGGGGGCTGCTCCGGGGCTGCTCCGAGGGGCCGCTCCGGGGCCGCTCCGGGGCCGCTCCGGGGCCGCTCCGGGGGGCTGCTCCGGGGCTGCTCCGGGGGGCCGCTCCGGGGGGGGGGGGCGGGGGGCTGCTCCGGGGCCGCTCCGGGGCTGCTCCGGGGCCGCTCCGGGGCCGCTCCGGGGCCGCTCCGGGGGGCTGCTCCGGGGGGCCGCTCCGGGGGGCTGCTCCGGGGGGC